TTTCCTGAAGTCACTCTGAGCAGTGAGAGGCCCTGAGACCCTCATGCCTCTCCTCCCTGCCCAGCCTTGTCCCAGACCTTCCCAGTGCACAGGACTCCCAGACTGGTTACATGATGCATTCTCCTCAGCAGGTCTCAGTGCCAGCACCCACACAGGAATAAACACCAGGGTCCTGTGAGCAGGTGAGGAGAAGCACAGAGAGAACCAGCTCCCCCTTGGAAACAGAAAACAGCAGATTTCCAGTCCAGTTTTCCCAGGAATTGGCTCTGTGGGGAGCCCTGGTTCCTGGTCTCGTGGAGGAACCTCCTCTCCTCTATCTCTCTTTAATGATTCCGCCTCAGCTCTCCAAATTTAATTACCAGGTAATTATACATCACATTCAGTGGTTTGGTCCTGGCAAGGGCTGAGTGTCACCAGTGTTGAGACCAGGAAAAGTGTTTGCTCTGTGCACTGGGAGCCTGAAACCCCTCTGGTACCTCCAGCTCTGCATCTCTTACAGGAAAACCCAGAAAGCAGGGACAAGCCCCATGACAGAGTGGGGACATCATTGCCACAGGGCATCCTATGGTCCCCAGACCACGGGATGCCATTCCCAAACCTGTCTGAAGGAAGGATGGGGAAGGGAGCACCTCGAGGAAGGCACTTTCTTTTCAACACATCCCTCACTAAGAGGTATTTGCTGATAAGCTGATAATCAGGTGGCCTGGCCACCCCCAGGACGTTAGACCTTGGTGCTTAGAGAATATTTGATCATACAATATCTCCATTAGGAGTTTGTAATCCGCTATCACAGCATTTGAGAGCCATCTGACTATAAGGAGATTTTTATTAATGGTTCATGAGCCTAAAAGTCAAAACTGACTCTCAGAGCAGATTTTAACAGTTTGTGTGGGATTTATATATTTATCTATCTCTTCACCACCTCTTCTCCCCCTGCCCCCACCCCTGCCATCACCTCCCTCTGCTCTGCCCCAGCAGTGCAGCAGCAGTAACAGCAGCAGGGAGAGACCAGGCAGCTGGAAAGGGCATTTCTCCTTCCCTTCTGTCTTCCTTTGTCTTCTCTCTTTCCCCTTCCCTTCCCTTCCCTTCCCTTCCCTTCCCTTCCCTTCCCTTCCCTTCCCTTCCCTTCCCTTCCCTTCCCTTCCCTTCCCTTCCCTTCCCTTCCCTTCCCTTCCCTTCCCTTCCCTTCCCTTCCCTTCCCTTCCCTTCCCTTCCCTTCCTCCATCCTTTTCTCCCCTTCCTCCCTCCTCCTTTCCCTCTTTCCTTCTTTCCCTCCTTCTTTTCCTCCCCTTCCATTTCCTTACTTCCCTTCTTTTCCTTCCCTTCCATTTCCTTCCCACTCCTGACACCTCCCCACACCCAGCCCAGCCCTCACACCACACCCTGAGCCTCGGGAATCCCATCCCATCCCTTCACCCCAGCCCAGCCCCTCATCCCAATCCTCCCTTTCTAACCTTCCCAAACCCAAACCCATGCCTAACCCATCATCCTTACCCCCAAAATCCCAGGTGCACGGCAGTGCCAGGGATGTGAGGGGAGTGTGGGGTGTTCCTGTGCCACTCCACCCAGCACCAGGTGCTGAAGCTCCACTGCCCGTCCCTAAATCCTCCTTTTGTCAGCCAATCTCCCCTGTCTCCTTGGAAACTGGCAGTGCTCCCCATCCCGGGGTCCTCCTGCCAGTGCAGCGCCCCAAAAGTTGCCCCCATTTCGGGGCTTCCTGGGCTGGCTCAGGCTGGGGTGGAGCAGGGATGCTCTGGGTGCTGGGGAGCACTGGGAAATGTGAACTGGTGCTGGTGGGGAGCAGGCAGGGAGGGGATGGGAATATTGGGCAGGGTGTGAGCAGGCAAATGGAGAGGGAATCAAACAAGGAGACAGAGCAGGAGCAGGAGGGGCTGGGACCAGGATGGGCAGGGAGCAGGCAGAGGTGCTGGAACCGGAATTCCAGGTAGTTCCATTATGGTTACACTCAGGATTTCCCTCCTGGTTTTTCTGCTTTTCCAGTTTTAGGGATTTTTTTTCCCCCCTCCTCTAGTGGGAAATGTCACATTGCAGAGCAGGCAGAGGATTTGCCTGTATGTGTATTTTGGGGGGCTGGGCAGGACACCTCAAATCAAACACCCTCCTAATCAGCTCTTTGCCCCTAAATCCAGCTTTCCAACACTGAAGTGGTCTCCCCAGCTTTTCTCCAGATTTTATTGGATCCAGGATTGCCTACTGCAGCCTGAGTTCAGAGGAAATGAATTCTACCAGGAGATGTAAAACATTAAAAATTAAAAAGGAGTTAAAACACTCTTTACAGAATATTTTGTGTTTGCCAGCTCACCTTGGGATTTTGCCCTTTGCCCACGCATGTGCCCGTTTAAATTAAACTCAGAAACGAACAGGGAGAGAAAAACGTGGAAAGTACAAAAAGCCAGGGGAAAATCAGAGAAACTCCTGCCATGAATTAGCTTTTTCTGATAAAAACAAGCACTGGCTGGAGGAGCTCATCCCTGACAGACAGGGAAATACTCAGGAAAGAAAAGTAGAAGATGGGGAAAGCTAAATGCAAAAAGAGGTTTTAAAGAGGCTTTAGAAAAAAATTAATAATCAAAAGCTCAGGAAACAAAGAGCTTTTCCAGGCAGGTGGGATGCTGTGCCCCAGTTCAGTAAGGACTTGGTTTTCTTGAGCATATTTTGCCCAAACAGATTTTTTTGGTGGGGGGGAGAAGTGAACTTTGTTGATTTGAAGCAAATCAGTGGAGAAATGAAACTTTCCATCCTGCTGCTTGGGAGATGCCAGCGGCAGGGACACCGCTGGAGCTTCCCAAACCTCCCCTGCACGGATCCTCCCGTTCCACAAAAATAAATGAGAAAATCACCGATGGATGCAGACGCGCTAAAGCGAGGCAGCACAAAAGCTCTCCCACAGAAGCTCTCCTTCCCCCAGAGTGGTTTATTTCAGAGGCTGCTCCCTGCCCTGGGGACACTCCTGGCACTGCAGGGAGGAGCAGGTTGCTGGTGCCCATGGAAGGGGTGGTTTGGGATGGGGATGCAGAGCCCAGGGATGGCTGGAGAGGCACCGTGGCTGCGTCATCATCGCTCGGGCTCCGTTGTCCTGGGCACCGAGGCGTGGTGCTGGTGGCCAGGGGTGGCTCACAGGCTGCTGGTGACAAACCTGGGGGACAGCAGGTGACATGGTGTGGATGGTGCTGGGGGTTTTTCCCAGGTCTCCCCCTTTCCAGAGATCCATTATTTTGTGCTAGATCCAGCGGGGCTCCAGCAGCCCCGGCGCTGCACACGGGAAGGAGAGAGGGAGAAAGAGGGAGAGGGACAGAAAAAGAGGCACCAAGAGGAGGGATGCTTGGGAAAGGCCTGATCCTGCAACCTGGGGCTTCAGCTTGTGACACTGCAGCTCATACACTTGTGCCTCTCCTTGCCCAGCACCTCTGCTCAGAGCATCCTGCCTGATCCAGGTTCTCCTGCCTGGAAAGTTCTCCCCAAATACACACCTGGGGACTCCATCCCCTGGGAAGCCACAGAGCAACCTCATCCCTCCCTGCCCACGAAGAGATTTGGCGAAGCCGGGGTGGGAAAGGTCACGTTAGCCAAGCTCTGCTTGTAATGAAAGTTTTTTGATTAAAGATTTCAAAAATAAAATAACTCCCCTCCTTGATTTTTTTTGCTTCCTTCACCTCGGGGAGCTGCCAGCAGAACCCCTTTTGTCTCAACCCTGCAGAAGCAGCCAGACCCTCCTGGCCTCCCGTGCCCCTTCTCGGTCACTCGCCGGCTGTGATTAAAATGGAAGACAACCATCAAGTGTGCTAGAACCATTTTAATATAATTATACATATCTGCCAAATCCAGGAAAAAAAAAAAGGTTTATGCATATATATCTTTTTTTTTTCTTTTTTTTTCAGTTAACATCTGCAAGCATAAACGACAATGAATTTCTTGGTTTGAATTCATCCAGGTCAGAGCAACTGCCCAAAGTCCTGTCGGATTTGCCGGTTACTGCCGGCGTGGCCAGCAGTAAGTGAGCTCCAGAGGAGTTAAATGTCCTCAGGTGGGGTATTTTCGGTCTTTCCTCTTTCATTCAGAGACAGTTTGTTGTAAAAAGTTTCAGTGCAGTTCACCTCGGGTGAAAGGCGATCGTGTTTTTTGCGTTTTTTCTTTTTTTTTCTTTTTTATTATTTTTTAAATATATATTTTTAATTATTTTGTTTTTAAAGATGATAATAGGTAACTCAGTTGCTCTGAATTTCACTTATAATTATAACCTATTTAAATCACAGCAGAACTCCCGCTGGTGCAGAGTTCATAGTTGCATACAATACAGGAGATCACAGTTTTGAAGTCTAGCACAGATTAAAAACCACAGATGTACCATTTATATAAGACACACACTGATTGTCTCTTAAAAACTACATATTGACTCCTTATGAACATTATCTTTTTTTTTTTTCTTAATCTTTAAATAAAGTAGTGCAGCTAGGACAATCAGTCACACAACCCACACAGCCCTGAACCAAGTTCTCCGGGTGCCAACTTCAGCAAGTTGGGCATGAAACAGTTGGATGAGCTCGAGAGAGAGAAAGAAAGAGGGAGGGACAAAAAGAGGGAGAAAAAGAGAGATGTTGTCCATTCTGAATATTTTAACCGAGGGTTGGCTAACACATTGGAAACCTCTGGGTGAAGGATCATCTTTCCACGCACACACAAAAAAAGAAATAAAAACCTAGACTCTTTTTTTTTTTTTTTTTTTTTTTTTAAAACTGGCCCGCAGGTGGGAAGATCACCCACCTCTTCCAAACAAAGGAACCCAACAATTGGCTAAAACTAGAAAGAACACAGATGGGTCTGTCTGGTTTCTGCTCACTAGATGATCTGTCCGTTTAAGGCCTTCCTCCTCCGTTTTTCCTCTTTATTATTCCTTTTCCAGAGCGTCTGAGCAGGAGATGAGTCTGAACGGGATCACACCAACACTGTCCCCCTCTTGTTGCCGTCAGTTTTTTTTTTTTTTGTTCATTTGTTTGTCCGTGGAGTTATTTTTCTCTTTAATTTAACCAAGACCTGACTAAAACTGGAGCACTCAGCCCAGCCTGTTCGTTCTCGTCGCGGTTTCTCCGGGGTACCACAAAGGTTCTTCACAAAACCTGGAACTTCCATGACGACGTCTGGTCCTTATAATCCAAGCAGTCAGCATTGAAGTTTAACTTCCAGGAGGCCGTTTGGTCTTTATAATCCAAGCAATCGGTGGTGGAGTTAAAGCCCAAACTGGAGGCTCCATAGCCCTGGGTGGAGAGGGAGGCTGGAGACTGGTTGAGGTGGCTGGTGACCGCGTTGGCACCCATGGGACTCAGGGTGGCCCCCGGCCCGGGCAGCTGGTGGTGCATAGGGGTCAAGTAAGATCCACAGTCCATGCCTCCGAAATAGGAGGTCGATCCAGCGTATCCTTGGCTGTAGCCCGATGCCTGGGTGTAGGTCATGGGATAGGATCTCTGCATGCAGGAGGAAGAGGTGGACAGGGGGTCTGAGAGCGGGGAGATGGACGCCGGGCTCCAGATGGACACGGGGGCGCTGCTGCTGGAGATGGTGGGGACTGAGGTGCTGGAGGGGGGAGTGAACTGCCCGCTGGTCCCGCTCTCCGAGCTCACTTCCCGGGCTGGAGAATTCTTCTTCTTCGCCGGCCGCACCTTGTTCTGGCCCCCGTTCTGCTGCTGCTGCTGCTGCTGCCGGCACTTGGCTCGGCGGTTTTTAAACCACACCTTGAGGCACAGACACGAGGGAGGGAGAGAGAAAAAGCCTGGGGTTAGGAATGGGCAAACCCGAGGTGGGGAAGGGATGGGTGGCAGGGAGACCCAAAGCTGTCCCCCAGGAGCAGAGGGTTGCAGGCTGCTGCACAGAAAAGCTCCGGGGCTCCCCCTCCCTGAGATCATTAGCAGTAATAACAAGTGGAAATCACAAATCAAACTCCTTAATAAGGTCACTTTTGGGGGTGAAGGGGAAGCTCTTTGCTGTTTGCCAGCCGGGGACCCCCAGGAATCACTGTGTAAGGCCTATTGAAGTTGAACCCTTAATTAGAAACAACAGAACATCAGAAAAGGAGGGAACAATTAGGGAAGGAGAGGTTCGGGAGGGGGGTAAAGACATCTCATTTACCCTCCAAACAGGCACTCTGCTCTCACCCCCTGGGTCAGAATTGGCTCCTCAGCCCATCTCCCCTTCCCTTAGCAGGGCCCAAGGGGGCTGGCTGCTCTGGGGAGGGTTTTTGGGAAGGAGGATGGGGTTTGGCACGGGGCTATCCCGATCCCAGCCACCACGCTCCACGGGAACACGGCACCGCACAGCCTCGGGAAGCCTCGTCAGAAGGCAAGGGGGAGGGATGGCTTTGGAGATGCCCTGCCTCTGCTGCTGGGGTGTCTTAAGTCCCAGAGGGGGCAGGACCCTCCTGCCCTGCCAGCAGCACCTCCAAAATGCTGCCTGGATGGGATCCTCCTGCAGAGCAGGACAGCCCAGCCCCAGGAGAGGGGTTCCCTCTGCCGAGGCAGCCCCTCTCTCATCAAAGTCCCCTCAGAGGGGCAGGAAGCCCCCAGTCTGTACTGGTGTGAGCTGGGATCCCAGTCTGGCCCAGCTCCAGGGATGTGGTGATCCCTGGGGAAGGGGGGGATCCTTTGTGGCTTCTGCAGGGCCCCCAGATGTCCGCAGGACAAGCTGGGATTTGGGGGTGCTGGGGATGGGTGTGGAAGGTCCAAGAGCTGGGATCCAGGATCTGCACAACCCCCCCTCAGTGCAGAGGGAGAAAGGGGGGCACACTCCAGCCCTGGGGGTGCAAAATGCCACCACATCCCCTCAGTGAGCCCCCACCCCTCTCTGAGCCTCCTTCACCCCACCAGGGCTTGAGTTGGCTCCAGGACTGGATCCATCCCCTGCACCCATCCCCTCGAGTCCCTCCCTGCCGGGCACAGGCCAGTCCCGGGTTCATTCCGCACGGAGGGCGAGGGCAGGGCAGGGCTCTCCGCGTCCTACCTGCACTCTGGACTCGGGCAGGTTGATTTTCAGGGCCACCTCCTCCCGCATGAAGATGTCGGGGTAGCGGGTCTTGGCGAAAAGAGCTTCCAGCACATCCAGCTGCGCCCGGGTGAAGGTGGTGCGCTCCCGCCGCTGCTTCCGCGGGGTGGCTGCGATCGGAGCCAGAGGCCCTGGCTGTCAGTCAGCGGCCCCTTAGACCCCGATGTCCCTTCCAGCCCCTTCCCCAGGGGGACACCCACATTCCCTGCCCTCTCCCGGGGGTCCCTCAGCCGCCACAGCTCGGCAGTCCCAACTCAGCATCTCCCCCGCATCCTCCGCAGCATCTTGGCCCCATCCCCAGCCCGGGGCTTTGCGCTGTTTGCAGCCCCTTTCGCCCATAAAAAGTTGGGGGTGAGGAAAAGGGAGACAGAAGGACCCCACGCCCTCACCCACCCAAGCCAGCGTGATCCCTGGGCATGTTGTGCCTCCCAAAATCCCAGCGGCTTCTCCTGCGTGGAGCCAAAAAAAAAAAAAAAGAATAGGGGGAGGGAAGAGGGAAGAAAAACGTGGCTTACCGGGATAACCGACGGACGGATGCAACAAATCCATGCCCGAGGTTGTGAGACTCAGGCCATTGACTGCGTAAGGTGGTTGCTTAAGATAAGACATCATGCTAAAGTTGTGGCGGGGAGGAGAGTTGGCCGAAATCCGGGCGAGGGGGAGCCGGCCGAGCGCCCTGCCTGCCCCGGGCGGTGCCTGCGGGAGCCGTCGGGCGTGGGGGGGCCGCCAGGTGCCTGCGCAGGAGGAAGAGGAGGGAGCAATGCAGGGATGAAGGGGGGGGAGTCAGGCCAGATCGCTGCCCCCCCCCAGCCCCCGCTTTTATCCCCTCTGCCTCCCCCCCTCCCATCAATCCTCCCGCTCGGACCCCAGCCGGATTCGGGAGCTGGGAGAGACTGACCAGATAAACGCATCTCTCCCCAAAAAGGGCGAGGAGGGGAGGGAAGGGGGGCACATCCCAGCCAGTAATTACTGCCCGAACAAAACCCCCCCATGCCTTCAACTGCCCGCATTGTACGGCGGCCGGGGGCATTTGCATAGGATTCCCGGCCGGGCACCGGCTAATTGTCTCAAGCAAAACTTGATTGGGGCCATTGGCAGACACAAAGAACCCCTCGGCTAAATAAATAATGCAGATAACAAAGCCCAAGGGTGAGAAACAAAGAAACAATTCAAGAAACCTATCTCTCCACTAGTCTCTTGCAAGGACTTTAATTATCCCAGGTTTGGGCAACATTCAAACCTTCCCCCTTTCTCCCCCTTTTTCCCCTTCCCCCCGACGTTGCTGCATTTCAGAGCTCAAATGCCCGCTCGGGAAGAGCCAAACTTTTCTGCTCTCCCGCCATCAGTCCACGTCTGCAGTAATTTCCACCGGCCATTTGCACCTAATTAGTACTCCGGGTAATTAGATTTGGAGGCAAGTAACAGATTTATTAGGCTTTCAAGAAACTCTTGATGACGGAGCCGAAGCTAAACAAACACCTCGGTGGCGAGCGGCCCCGGGACAGCCCCGGCGGGCGAGCGGCTCCCCCGGACCCTGCTCGGGCTACCCCGACGGGACCGGGCAGCGAGGGGGGACCCAAACACCCGCCAAAAAAAAAAAAAAAGATAAAAAATTTTAAAAGTACGGCAATGGGTCAAATCGGGACTCCTAAAAAGATTTAGGCTGTTTTTTCCAGCGCTAAAATATTTTTTTTAAAAACGTCTTTTTGAGCAAACGCTCGCCCTTCCCTCCATTCCCAGCGGCCGTCGGGAAAACGAACTCCAGCAGAACTTTCTTCCCGAAACACCCCAAAACTCCGCGTTTCAGCCCAGCCGGCTCCCCGGGAGGGCCGAGCGCTGTCGGGGGGCTCCTGCCCCGCTCCACGCCCCCGGCAGCGCCGTCGGCGCGGGTTCTCCGCGGCGCGGAGCTTCCCCTTCTCCCCTCGGGAAGGGAATGGACCGCGCACGACCGCGCTGGGCGGCGGAGGGTGCGCGCATCCAGCGCGGGGTGCGCACGGTCGGGTCCCGAATTTCGCATCGCCCCCCGGGGGAGGCCGAACGGGGACGGTTCCGTGGCGGGGTTGGCAAAGCGGGAGCCCCGCAAAACGCGCGGGAGAGCAAAGCGCGGGGGTTGCTGCCCGCTCCAAAACGAGCGAACAAAAAAATTTAAAAAAGACAAAAAAAGATTAAAAAAAAACAACAAAAAAGGAAAACACAACAACAAAAAAAAAAAAAAAGGCGCAAACACCTCCTCCCCCCCCCCAAAAAAAACCAACCCTAAAGCTCCGTTCGGTTAAATTCGGCGGCATCCCACCGAGGCGCCAGCCCGGCGCGGCCGCCCGCGGAGCCCCTCGGCCGCGGCCGCGCATCCCGGGGCGGCCCCGCAGCCCGCGGAGCAACGGCTCCGCTCGGCAATCTGTCACCTTTCCCCTCCTCCCGCGGCCCCCCCGCTCCGCGCACAGCCCGGCTACCAGTTGCTCTGCCCTCGCTCAATAATAATTACCCCGTCCGAGAATTAATTATAATAAATGTTTTCTTGATAAACTAACGAGATAATCCGGGCGGCACACGCTCCCTAATTACGAGCCACCGGCCCCGGCTCCGCGGCTCGCCCCGGTGATTAATGCGGGGCAGCGATCCGCGCCCGGGCGCGCAGCCTGCGCCCCTGCCCCGGCCGTGCTGCGGGGGGCAGGGGGAAAGGTGCCAAGGTAGAAAAGGGAATTTGTTCCCTTTTGTTTTGCAAACGACCGCCGCCTTCCCTGCGCTCCAACGAATTTCGGTCATTTTAAAAAATTCTAATTTATTTAATTTTTTTTTTTTAAGCAAACCTTATTTTCCTTTTTTTTTTTTTTTTCGCTCTGGAGGGGCTGCTGTTTCGGGTGATATTTCCCGACATGCGAATTTCGCCCTGGTGCAGAGGCGGTGGGGATGGAGCCGTCACCGGCTCTGCCGGGCGGTCCCCAGCGCTTCGCCCTCGGAACCTCCGCGCTGCTCCGCGGCCGCGGCTCCTGCCCGGGACCGGGAGCGGCGGAGCCGGGCTCGGCGGGCAGCCACCTCCGCCTGGCCCGTCCCTGCCGGCCACCAGCACCCGGCCTTTTTCAAAAAAGCATTTTTGAAGTGCTTTTCCCCCCACTTCTTTCTGGTTTTATTTTTTTTTTTTTTTTAACTAGAGTTGCACCTTTTCGAAATAAATAAATAATAAGCTTCAACTTCTCTAAGCAGCCGAAATCGAAATAAACCTCAGCAGCCAAGAAGGGTTTTAGTTCTAAAGAAACTTGTGCCGGTGCACAAGGACTTTTCCCGACTTTCTCTTTGTCAGCGCGGTGCGAATTCAGAGGAGAGGCCGGGGCGCGTTACTCGCGGCCGGTGCCTTTAGGAAGCGCTTTCCCAAGGCATAAAAAAATAAAAATAAACTAAAATGAGGGAGGTGGATACCAGCTCCAGCCCCTCTCCGACCTGGATGCCATTCCTGCCATCCGTTTCGCGCACACCAAATCGTGAGGCTCCGGCCCTAAATGCCTTGAAGATTTCTCTCCCTGCGCTCTCCAGCCCGGTTCTCCCGGGCCGTGAGTGCTCAGAAACACCTTTGCAAAATTACTTTGCTGAGTCTCCGCATCGCGAGGAAGAGGAGGAGGATGAAAGGGTTCTCAGGTAGGAGTCGGAAGAAGCGAAAAATTCCTCCCCGTTTGTTTTTTTTGGTTTGTTTTTTTTTTTCTTTTTTCCCCCTAATTTTAAAAGTCCAGCTTGAGGTCAGGAAATAACTCCAGGCCAAAGGAATAGGCCGGAGAAAAATCGTGTAGCCAAGGGAAAGGCGGAGGAGCCCCGCGCCTGCCCGCGGAGAGAGCAGCGGCTCCGCTCCCGGCCGCGGGGCTCGGGGGGCTCGGGGGGCGATGGGGAGCGGCCCCGGCTTCTCGGTCCTGCCCTTCTCCCTCTCACCCTGCAGCTCCCGCTCCCTGCCCAGCGCCGAGCCCGCAGTGCCCGAGCCGGGGCCGCCTCCGCCCGGCCCGGCCCGGCCTCTCCCGGGCAGCTCCTGGCCACAGAGAGCCCCACCGCGCACAGGCGATTTAAAAATAATCATGATTTAAAAAAAAAATAATAATTATAATTTTAATGTCCCTCTCCCCGCGTTCCTGGCCGCCCAGCGATGCCCCCGAGGAAGGATGGAGCCAGAGGGTCGGACTTACCTGCGAGCCTCGGCGGAGCCGCGGGCAGGGCTGGGGGGCGAAGGGGGAAACCTGCTCCCGGATCCTCGCCAAATTCAGAGCTGGGGCTGAGCTGGGAGAGAAAGCACAAAGCGGGAGGTTAGAGAGCTCGCCGCATGCACATGCCCACGACATCGGGGGGAAAGGGGGGGGCGGAGGGGGGGTGGAGAAAAAAATGTTTGAAAAAGGAGAATAAATGGGGAAAAAGGGGAGGGGACGGTGCAGGAGAGGGATGCGGGGATGCGCGGGGTCTGGGCTCGGTACATACAGAGCAGGCCGGTGCTGGAGCTGGTCAAAGTGATTTTATTTTTAATAATAGTGGCAGGGTGCGTTGGAGCTGAAGGTCTCTACCTCTCTCGGGGAGCTTTGCTGAGAAAGCGCCTCTCTGGCAACTTTTTGACGCAAACTCTCCAACCAATGGCAGGGAGAGAGTGATTGACACATCTAAGCCAGGGGGAAAATAATAAAAACACACACAGGGGGAGGAAAAAACAGGCCGCTGCTGTACCGGGGGGACAATCCAGAGAGAAATAACAGCCACCGAAATGACACCAGAATATACATTAAAAGAACCTGCTCGGTTTAAAAATATACATTATGGAGTGGAGCGGATGAAGTCATTGTAGAAATTAACGTGATGGACAGCAGAGATGGAATTAGCGAATTGCCCGGGGAAGGAGAGGAAGGGGGGTCAGCAAAAGGCTGGGGGGCGGCCGTAATAATAACAACAACACCACCAACAAAAGATATTAATGTATAGAAGTAAATATTTGTGAAGGGGGGACACGGAGCCTAGCAGGAGCCCTGGGCTGAGCGGCAGGAGATGGGTGAGAGGAAACCCGCGGCACTCAAGGGGAGAATCCCCCCCAGCACAGACAGGGGTGCCCCAGCCCCGGGCCCCCCCAGCCGCACCCCCGGATCGGCCGCACCCCGATTCCACCTCCCAGGGGCCAAGTCAGCCCTGGAAGAAGAGGGGAAATGGAGTCACCTGGGGGGGCGACACGAATGCGTTTTAAATTTTATTTGTAAAGATCCATAGGGATGAGGGTGTGGAACGGGACTTGGCGGCGTCGCGTTGAATTTGCAGATGGGGACGTGCGCATGTTTTTAATGGAAATAATTCGGGAGCGGTGACGGGCTGAGGGTGAGGAGGGCCCAGGGGGTTCCCGATGCCGGGCACACCGGAGCATCGGGAACACTGGAGGGGTGTTCCCCAAGCACCTCCCGTCCTCGCTCAACTTCTCCCGGGTCCCAGCACCCCGAAAATAAAGCTCCGCCAAAAAGGCAGGAGGATGGAGGCGGCTGAGGTCGGAGCGAGGGAGCGCTCACAGACTTTCCTCACTTTGTGACAATGGGGGGAAAAAACCTGCAGCGCCTCGATCATTTTAACGGGGTGACCTATGTTAATGAAGTTATAGCAATTAATTCGCT